GGTATCAGGCATTGCATCTGATTACTTTGGAAATAATTACAAAAACAAAATAGCAGACTTAAGGAATTAAATTACAAGAGAAGATGCAGTACTTTAAAGAAATAGTTTATTAACACTAAAAAAGAAAAAAAAAAAAGGTAGCTGTATGCTCCACGATAGTTCGGTGCTGAAAGGTCTGACATTGATTTTAACTTCTTTCAAAATGAAATGGTGAATCATTGTTTTATTGAGCTTTTCTGGGAAAGAAACGGAAAATACTATAGGGTAAAAACCATATGAAGGAAACTAATGTGATTTTCCTACACTGTACACTCTTCAGTAGTTACCATGAGATTTTGAGTCATTGGTGGCAGAAGAGCCATTGCTCCTTGACTGAACTTTGAATTTTCAGTGTCCTAAGATAGATATATCTTGAATACAAGCATCATGACTTTTGAACCTGTAATGTGCTGTAGTTCAAGGGCTGCAAAAGCAGGGATTAAAATACTTGAATGAACAGTTTAAGAGTAATATGTCTAATAAGAAAGTATTCCCTTTTCTTAACTGTAAAGCTCGATACAGTCAGCCAGATACCCTGCATACAGACTAAGGTGTCAAAGAAAAAGATGTCCTGTTTTTAAAATGTGAGGATGGGGGCAGGGGGAGGTAGTAATTTGCAGTCGTCTGTAGTTTAGTAGGTCCTGGCAATTGTTTTGTCCATAATCTTGGCAAAAGCAGCTGTATTGCTTACTACCATATAATTAATGGTTTATTGGAAGCTTGGGGGGGGGGCTGGGTTGATGAACTGCGAGTTCTCCTTAGTCCTTTAATTAAAAAAGTGGGCAAAATAATTTTACTATTAAAAAAAAAAATCTTGGATATGGTTTCTATACTTTTAAATGCGGTTTCAGGTAACATTTAAGTATGTAGCATAAGTAATGCCTTGAAACAGACGTTTTCTGTTCCCTTCTGCGTGTTTTTAGCTTGGTTTCTATGGCAATGAAACCTATGCAGAGTGTCAGGCCTCTTCTTCCCCTGTCTCCAAAAATAATTTCTAAATTTACCAGCCAGCGTAAGCCAAAATTAAACGGGAAGGGGGAGGCTCAAAGGTTGGCGGGTTCCTACTGGTTTGAAGCAAAATGGTGACTCGGCAGGGGAGAATCAGTGCCCTGTGAAGACGAGGCAGAGTTGCTACAACACACTGCTGTCTACCCTGCTGGCATAGGCAAAATTTCTAGCCTGCTGGGGCAAGTTCTGCTGCAGTTGTGGGTTTCTATTGTTTTGGTTTGTTTTTCACCCCAGTGGAGTCCCCTGAGAGGAGATGAAGTTACTGCCTTGAGGAGAGACTAGGAGAGAAGAGGGCACTTGAAGGAGAGCTACCAAAAGCTGGTTTCTGTTCATGGAACAACTGGTCTTTATTATTCTGGCTGTAAATACTAAATTGTCTTAATCCACTTCTTGTGATTTTTATGATGGGGGTTTCTGTAAGGAGTCCTGCGATTTTTAAGTTGCTGGATCAGGATGATCTTGATGCTTTTCAGTGTTTCCAAAAGGTCTGTATAGAGGACAGGATAAACAGAAATGCTTGGTCCCTGAATATGAGTCCTACAAAATGAAGACCTTTTGAATGCATTAAAGGACTTAACGGGTCTCTTTTGTATGGAGCCCTTAGGATGGAATTTTTCAGTTTCCTAATTGCAGTTGCTATAACAATTGAATGACTTGTTAACTCGCTCTTGGAAGGCAACAAGTCTCACGTGCTTGTTCTCCCATCCTCACGTTGGCTTCATTATTTCTAACTTGTACTAAATTACTAATAATTTAGAGAAAGGTAACTTTCAAGAAAGCTTGTAGAAGACACAAAATTATTTTTCTCAGTAATGGCTAAGTGGGTTTTGAGCAGTAAATATGCTCTTTGACCAATGAGCTGCTGTGGATCCCTGTGTGTCTTCAGGATAGTGACAGCCCGTACTATGGCTTGGTAGGGAAAACCAAGTTGCAGTCATTGAAGTGGAGGGCAAAAAGAGAGGAAGAATGGAGGTAACAGGCAGAAATCCATTAACTGGGCTTTGCTTCTTCCCCTGCTCATAGACCAGGTTGTGGTGATGGGATAGTCAGAACTACACACACATCCCAAATAACCAGCCATTATTGTGAAAGTATGCCAGTGATATTGTTATTTGTCTCATTGTTAATCAAATGACAGTTTTATTTTAAAATTGTTTCGTTTTAGCAATACTAGATTTTTCTTGTGAATGGTTGTACTTAATTTAGTACCGTAACTTTTATAGCTCTCGGTCAGGATGTTGTTCTGACCTATGTGACTTTTTTAGAATTGAGTGTTTTGTCTTCTGGTTTTCTGTATCCCTGAATATGTTAAGTTATTTTGAAGTGAGTTTGTTTTCTTTGGCCTTAACTTCTCTAAATGGCTACTAATTATCAGGTTACTACTTCTTCTAGGTACTGGCTAGCCATTAAATGACCTGATTGCTCAGTACCCAGAACCCCTAAATACTATGAACACTATGGGTTCCCCTGAAGGTGACTTCCCTAGGTAGTATGGGCTTGTGTGTGTAATGCCTGTGTACTTACAATGGCTGTGCATATATGTGTAGTTTATGGATAAATCCTTTAATCTATAAGCTATGGTTCTTTGAATACAGTATTTGGAGTACCTGAAGGGGCCTACAAGGAAGCTGGAGGGGGGACTTTTTACAAGGGCCTGTAGTGACAGGACAAGGGGTAATGGGTTTAGATTGAAAATGGGTTTACATTGAAAATGGGTTTAGATTGCATATCAGGAAGAAATTCTTCATGGAGAGGGTGGTGAGGCACTAGAACAGGTTGCCCAGAGAAGCTGTGGATGCCCCATCCCTGGCAGTGTTCAAGGCCAGGCTGGATGAGGCTTTGAGCAACCTGGTCTAGTGGAAGGTGTCCCTGCCCATGGCAGGGGGGTTGGAACTAGATGATCTTTAAGGTCCCTTCCAACCCAAACCATTCTATGACTCTATGGAGGGGCTTATGAAAAATGTCGGAAAATGCTTTAGCAAGTAACGTTGTCACTTTTTCTAATTTGACACATTTAAGGAGAAGAATGTGGTAGAAGCTGTAGGAGGAGTTGCATGACGTTGTTCTGCTGCGCTAACTTTTGAAACATTTTCTGTTTTCCCTTGAACGAGCTTTTCAGTTTACCTGCAAACTGCGAAGTGCCTTCTGTGCTTGTAATCCCTACTGTTATCCTTTAGTTGTTCCTCAGAAAAGCATGCAATTTATAACCTGCAGAACTTGGATGTGAGCCAGCAATGTGCCTTTGTCACCAGGAAGGGGAGCAGTATCTTGGGCTGCGCTGGGCAAAGCCTTGCCAGCAGGTTGGGAGAGATGACCCTTCCCCTCTGCTCAGCTCTGGGGAGGCCACTGTGCTGGCCTCAGGCCTGGGCTCCCCAGGATAAGAGGGATGTACTGGAGAGACTCCAGTGAAGGGCCTGGAGCATCTCTCCTGTGAGGACAGGCTGAGAGAGCTGGGACTGTTCCACCTGGAGCAGAGAAGGCCCCAGGGGATCTCATCACTGTATATAAATACCCAAAGGGAGGGGCCGCAGGGGACAGAGCCAGACTCTTTCCAGCGGTGCCCAGCGACAGGAGCAGAGGCAGTGGGCACACACTGAAACACAGGAGGTTCCCAGGTTCTCTCTGAACATCAGGAAACACTTGGGGAGTTGGTTTGTTTTGGTTTTTATAATGTGAGGGAGACTGACCACTGGCTCAGGCTGCCCAGCGGGGTTGTGGAATCTCCATCCTTGGGAGATACTCAAAAGCCATCAGGACATGGTCCTGGGCAGCTGGCTGTAGGTGGTCCTGCTTGAGCAGTGGGGGTGGACCGGATGACCTCCAGAGCCCCTTCCAACCTCAACCATTTGGGAACTTTGATATACCCTGATATAAACCAATTTTGGTATGACTGTTACACTCCTTAACAAAAAATTTAGCATTCTTCTGAGATGCACTTTTCCCAGTAATCTGATTGCACTTTGCCTAATATGAAATTCCTGTAGATTTATTCTTAATATTTGTTATCAAAATTAAAATAATACATTTCTGTAGGGTGTTCATTGAAACAATTTGAAGTTACAAAAATCTTCAGATGTGTTCAAATTACCGTATCTTCTGGGTTTTAAATATGGTGCTTCAGTAGTTGGCTTCTAGGCATCTTCTCTTGTAGTTTACACTAGTGGGAACTAGCACTTTTTTGATTAATGCTAGTAGTCTTTCTTCTTAAATTTGTTTTATATTCTAAAGGCTATCAAGTTAGCTAAAATAATGAGAAATGCCTTCTGTAAGAAAATATATATTAGGTGGTGGACCCGAATTCCATTGCTTTAATCAACATTCTTGCTTTTGCAGGGTCTTGTTTCTGTACATGCTTAACATGAACATGTCCTTTTAAAACTGCATTTTTAACAGCCGAACAAACCAGCAAC